TCCCTGGTCTGATCCAGCAGGGCTCTTCTGAGGTTCTTCTCAGGGGAAGGCCTCGGCCTCTCTGCCCTGCTGCTGGCCCTCCAGAGGAACTGGTTGGCCACTGAGTGAGACAGGAGACTGGACTAGACGGACCCTCCCTGGTCTGATCCAGCAGGGCTCTTCTGAGGTTCTTCTCAGGGGAAGGCCTCGGCCTCTCTGCCCTGCTGCTGGCCCTCCAGAGGAACTGGTTGGCCACTGAGTGAGACAGGAGACTGGACTAGACGGACCCTCCCTGGTCTGATCCAGCAGGGCTCTTCTGAGGTTCTTCTCAGGGGAAGGCCTCGGCCTCTCTGCCCTGCTGCTGGCCCTCCAGAGGAACTGGTTGGCCACTGAGTGAGACAGGAGACTGGACTAGACGGACCCTCCCTGGTCTGATCCAGCAGGGCTCTTCTGAGGTTCTTCTCAGGGGAAGGCCTCGGCCTCTCTGCCCTGCTGCTGGCCCTCCAGAGGAACTGGTTGGCCACTGAGTGAGACAGGAGACTGGACTAGACGGACCCTCCCTGGTCTGATCCAGCAGGGCTCTTCTGAGGTTCTTATGCCTAACAACATTTGCCACTGGATTCTGCACAGGGACGCTACCTCTGAACAATGCCACCTACCCCAGTACTTTTTACTTCCAAGTAAATATGCACAGGATCATAGCCTTTGGCATATCTCACTGCAGGCTCTTCTAGACCAGGCTGCAGAGCTTCACAACCACTTTAAAAGGAAAGTGTGTGTGTGGCAGGATGTATGCATGTTGTGTCCCTTGCCACAACACAAAACCTCGCCGTGGCAGCTTGTGACGTGTTTGCAGCCAAACTGAGAGTGCTGCAAGGGAAACGGGGGGGGGCTCTCTCACAGGGGTGCCTCCCCCCCCAAGAGCAGCATCCACATACCGTGGGGCGGAGCTTCTGCCACCGACTCCCACCCACCCCCTCTGCCAGCTGCCTGCGCCCACTCCCTTGCAAGCGTGCCCCCCTCCGAGGCTCCCGGCTGCCCAGAGCATGTGGGGGAGGTGCCAGACAGTGGTGCTTTGGGGGCAGTCGTGGCAGCTGCACTCCCCGCCACACCCAGGGCCTCAAGGAAAAGGCACTTAGGGGGGGCTGCCGGAGGGGTCGAGATGGGAGCGGGGGGGGCTGGTTGTGGACAAAGAAGGGGAGGAGGGTCCCCTGAGCACTCTCTGCCCTGGGCCCCCCAACACCTAGAAGCAGCCCCCCCACACACACCACCAGGAGCTGCTCAAAGCAAGAAGGCAAGGAGCCTCCCGCAGAGCTCCCCCCCCCTCCCCGGCAATGGGATTTTCTGAAAAAACGCAGACCCCAGAATGAAGGACTCGAGGACAATTCATAATGTGCTTCAGATATCAGCCGATCACTCTAGACCACGCATTCCTGACTCGCCCGTAAGGCCAGCTTGGGAAGAATGAGCAGAGGAGACTATCCCCCCGACGGTTTGTATTCTGTGTCAAACTGCGACCACCATCAAACCCCAGCTCCGGAGGAGGAGGTTCTTCTATTCCGCAGCCCCTCTGAATGACTCCCCCCCCCGCCCCAGAAAGCCACCAAATGCCCCCATCATCTCTGTGGTCAGCCTCGGGGGTGGGGGGAGGTAGTGGTCTTGGCTTCCCCCCTAGAAGCCCTAACCCTTGCTCACGCCCGCTGCCCAGCTCTCGGTTTCCTCCCCGCCCACCCCACCCCCCGGGCTGAGGCAGCAGAGTAGCGCTCAGGGGGGGTCAGCAGCTGCTCGCGCCCCCCCTGAGCACCAGAGCCATGGTTCCTGCCCCCAAGGGGGCCAACTGCGTGCAGGGGAGGCCTCCGTCAAAGTGCCCCCCCCCCGGTCATCTCCCAGTTTCTTCTTGCTCTCATCGATGGCTCCAGAGCTGAAACAGGCCCATCCAACCCCCAACCCCCGTTGCATTTCCGTCTGACTGCTGCTGCCCACCCACCCCCCGCCCCCTCCTCAACATCACCCCGGCTCAGGCCTGCCTCATGGCCAGAGGCTCCCCCTTTCTGGCTGGGCATCTGGGACAGACCCTGTGGGGCACGGCAGGCATCTCCTGCAGAGGGCAGGGGGTGGGACTAGATGACCCGCAAGGTCCCCGTTCCCACTCTCACATTCTGTGATTCCGAGCCCTCCTCACCCCCCCCCCGGCACAAAGGGGCCCCCCTCCACACAGACAGACACACACACACGGGCACACACTTACTTTCGGGCACCACAGGTGCCGGGGCCAGGCAGAAGAGGCCGAGGATCAGAAGAGGCCGCCCAAGAGGCAGGGCACCCGAGGCCCACAGGCCCCGCTGCCCCTTCGGTGCCATGGGAGGGTGCAAATGACCGGGGGGCGGGGGGGCAGGCAGGAAGCCTCCCGTTAGCAGGCTGGGGGGGAGAGGCGATGGTCGCTGAGCTCAGCTGGCAGCTCCAAGTGTCCCTTCCTCATTGCCAAGCCGGGAAGAGACGCTCCCTGGGGTGCTCCCTCCCGCCCTGCGTCTCCGCAGCGGGCATCCTCTCAGCCAGCCGTCTCACCTGGGCAGGTGAAGCCGGGCGGAGACATCCCCGGTCTGAGCCTATTCTGGCCCCAGGTGGAGAGCAGCTCAGGGGTGGGGCCGGGAGTCCTCCCCCCCCCAATCCCCCGCTGTTGATGAAGCAGCACTCAGGGAGGGGGGCTCTCGGAGCTGGAGCTGGACGGCTGCCCGCCACTGTTGACAAATGGGAGATTCATAATATTTAGCCTGACAACTGAAACAAGACGGGGGCGGCTGCAGGGACTGGCTCCGTTCCTTGTTGGGGAAATAAGTGAGGGGAGGGCGATGGGGCAGAGGGGAGGGTTCTTCTTCTTCTCAAGGACCGGGTGGCCTCTTGGGGCGGG